AATGGGTGGCGGGTTTGGAATGAGGGAGGAGGCAATGGGGGTGGGTTGAAGAGGGACTCCCGATACAAGGGGCTGACACCTGGGCCGTTTGTGGATCGTGTGTGTGCAGGTGAAGATGTCGGTGGTGCGCGTGAAGATGTGGTGGGCTGACGCCTACGCAATCTGTGAATGTTAAAGCAAAAATAAAGACATACAAAATTAAAAAAAGAAAATCATTAAGGCCGCACACACCTGCCGCATATGCAGCCTCTGTGCACATGCCCCAGCGCATCTGCATGCAGCGCACCAGACAGCAGTGCAGCACCAGCGCATCTGCATGCAGCACACCAGACAGCAGTGCAGCGTGTCCCGCTTCGCCAGTTTTGCACCCGGGTGCACGGTGCACTGCAGCGCGAGCGCACCTCGGATCCGCGCATCACGCGGTGCGCAGTGTACTGCTCAGCGCACAGCCCAGGTGCACCACAAGTATGTTTCAGACACAGGGAGAGTTCAGCGAACCTAGAGAGTTCAGCGAACCTACTGTAACGACTACGATTGTCCTCAATGTTCGACAAAATCCTTCTCTATTCCCGCTGGTCTCTCTCTCAAACATACTTGAAATCAGCAAGATTGAGAAGAGCGAAATGTTTTACAGAGGGGTCCGATTATTAAAGTGTGCTAGGTTAGTCGCCATTTCTGAGACTGCAAGGACTAACTTATGTATGAACAAACAAGTATGGGTTACCAGACTGCCCAAGTGCACCGTCAAAGATAGAGATGTCCTTTACACAAGCAAACTGTGTAAAGAAGTGGATGGTTAGATGATCAGCCAACTGCACAATACCTTCAGGAAATCATCCTGAAGTGGGGCAAATAGACCAAGTGAAGCGGGCACAAGCAAACTATGGAAAGAAGTGGATGCCAACTGCAAAATACCTTCAGGAAATCATCCTGAAGTGGGGCAGATAGACCAAGTGGGGGGGGAATGAAAGTGGAGATGCCAGGCCCTGGTCTAACTCCCAGCCTTTTGCAGTTGAGTTGGAAACTTACACTAACGATAGACTTTCTCCTACCTGGAAACCGATCAACAGCAGTGAGTGGCAGCTTAGAAAATTACTGACAAGGCTGCAGTAGGCTGTCAATGTGCATCTGAGAGCGAGTACAGTCGACAGTCTATACTCCAAGTAGGGAAATAAGTCTGAGTAGGGCAACGGGAAGTTGGACAGGGATTTGACATCTCTAACACTCTCTGCTAATAGGGTAGTCAGAGGACTAGTCTGGGATGATTCGGATAGTTGTCCCTTACATTATCCAAATACACGAACCCCTGTTCACCTATGCACCTATCCAGTAAACCATATACCCGTTGACATACATAGATCACTGGAACTGATTATACCTTTCATCAAAGGATGCGTGCTGTCCCCAACCATAGATGAAGACATCAATGCCAAGTCCTTCTCCTCCAAGGCTTCTACAAGCTGATGAATGAATTAAAGGCTCCTCACGGGACTTTCGAAGCTAAGGGGAAGGTACACGAGGAATTGAGTCCCTTGGCAGTATTGGAAAATGCCTTCCCCACCCTAAGTGCAGGCACGTGTAAGGAAGCCTGCAGATTCTCAGTGGACTGTACATTGGCTGAGGGCGAAGCTCGGTGCTTGCCTCGGTCTGGTCGCATCTTAGGTTAGATTCACGATTTTGTTTGCTGCTGGGTACTAACCAGGATATCAGCCTGTGGGGAAATTCGTGAGGGACATATCTGTAAATTTGGGAAAATTGCAGGCCCGCAATAACCTGATTTACCTTTAGTCACCCTACTGCGAAGAGCAGGCCGGGCTACCACGAGGACAGACGGGCCTATCGGGCTATACTGATAGACTGGTCTGATAGCCCATAGCCAGGCATAGGGAGAGGCCGTAGGGGCCAAAACTGAAACGGTACAGGTCAGTCCTACCAGTCCGGCTCGGCCGTGTCTAGGCTAGGGTAGACTATGAATAGGTTTAGAGTAGACAGTTCGGGGCTTTTGGCGGTTGGTACCGTGCACGTCGCTGCTGTGCAACGCATGAACTGGAAGTGGTGACAGCTTCAGCGTTGGAGAAGACGGACATAGCTGGACCTGCGAAGTGTCGGCCATAGTTGGGACCTGCGCTGTGCTCTGACAGCACGTGGGGCTGTTCAGAGGTCCAAGCTATCTGATGTCTGCTGGAGGCAAGTGAAGTTGGTGCCCTGCTGAACCCTCCTCAGGAGTAGGGTGTCAGGGTGTTTGGTGCTGCAGCTGCAGTTTCCATCCTCAGACATCATCTGTGTCAGGAGAGGTGGCACTGCTACAGATTTCCACTCGGGAGGTCTCCAGGCACTTCATCTTCATCAGTAGCTGTGGCGCTGGTCTTCTTCTCCATCCTCTGAGAGGCACTTGGCCTCAGGGGCCTGTTTCAGGGTGGTGCTTCCCTCTGGAAGCAGTATCTGGGTGGCGCTGGTTGTTTCAGGGACTCGGGGGTAGTGATAATAGTTACTCGGGGTTGGGGCGTGAAGCGCTGCTCATTTCTGAGCAGCGCACCATGTTGATGGGGCTATTCTGACAAATCGAGACTCTGAGTTTAATAAACAGTGTTGGAAGTCTATGTGAGCGAGTGTTCGTCTTCTGACAACAAACAACCAGGTTCATAACACACGCCAGCAAAAATACGGGTAGGCCTGAGTACAGGCCAGTGTGACAGAAGAAAGGGTCAATGCAGAAGGCCCCAAGAGGTTGTTGAAAGGCTTGCGCCTGCTGGAAATCATCTGCGGTCTTGAAATCCCCAAGTGTCCTAACCAGGGATTTGCTGAGTCCATGCCTCACGCCAGACAGTTACAGTATGTTGATGCTGTGTGACCATGAGCTACACGCCAGAGCTGAAGCTGAGCAGCCACGTTGGGCAGTTTAGCCCTCCAACCGAACGGGGCCCTGGGCACCTCTGGTAAAGGCCCTGGGCGGGTACACTTGAGCCTGGTCTACTCATTCAGGCTCTGGAGGCAGCCCTTGCCTGTGTGACTGGGCCCCGCATATCTCCAGCGAGAGCCTGGAGGCCGACATGTCACACAACGGCCGTGGACCAATGATACTGCAGCTGCTGTGTCGCACAACGGCCACGAGTCAATCAGAATGCAGCGAACACTTGGAGCTGTGTCGCACACTTGGGCGTGCAAAAATGCATCGGGCCCAGGCCAGTATCTGAACTGGTCCTGAGCACAGACACTTTGGCCCGACAGAAAGCTATTGGTGCCCACGGCCAGCCAGCACTTTCCATAAAGGAAAGTGCCTGTCGCCCAGCCAGACATTCTGGTCTTGCGCGACCTGGCGGCCATGCTGCTGGTGGATAGCGTCGGCAGGCTGCCCAGGTGCTGACTGGGATTCTGGCTGGCAAGCAGATGCGGCAGAGCTGCTGCATTGCAGTGCGAGTGTCAAGAACACTCGCTCCAGCCAGGGCGCACACGGGCGCTAGGCGGGCAGAGCCGGGCTGCTGGGCACAGAGTGGGTGGTCGGCAATGGTGGTCTTCGGGTGTCAGGGATGCACACTGTGGGAAGTCAAGGGGTGATGTGAGAGGAGAGAGAGACATGTAACTGGTGTATGCTGGCAGTCTGCATTGGCAACGTACTTCGGCATCGAAGTGACTCCTGTTGCATGAACGTAGTGTAGGCTAGTATAGGTGCTGAGTAGGATAGGCTGTGCGCTGAGAGCCAATCAAGAAGAGCGACATTGGATACTATGTTGGTGTGGCGAGAGAGTGTCGATATTGACATTTGAGTTCGCTGTATTGCTCTTACTTGGCTGATATCTCGGAGCATTGCGCTTTCTGTTTGGTACACAACTATCTGGACTACAGCGTGATTTTGCAATTTGGATTTCTGTCTATCGCTCTAGCTCATATTCCTTGCAAAAGGGCGGAGGAGATTTGGCAAGAGGAAGGGAATTATCATTGGTCTTTACTGGTGTAATCTTTTCTTTTTTTTTTAACCAGAACTCGAGCTTTTGTTATAAGAGCAAAAGGAGGCCGGGAGTCCCTCCACATCTCAACCCGGAGTAATCCAGTGTCCCATGCTTCGAACTCCAAGCCTACTTACCCTTGCCAAATAATGGAACTGGACTAAAAAGGCTGCAATTCACAAAAGGAAGAGAAGCTAGAAACTGGACAAACACTGATACAAATCGCCAAAAGAATGGGAATTTAGCTTCTACACTAGTGAAGTCGACATATACATCTTCTTCTTCCTTTCTTCTTCTCCTTTTTCCCCTCTATCTCCACTCAAGTTCATTCATTTCTTTTTGCAATTGGACGGGGCCTTGTGCTTTCTCGTGAATTTATACTTCGAAATTGGCCAGGACTGTAACAAAGAAGAAGAAGAAGAAGAAGAAGAAGAAGAAGAAGAAGAAGAAGAGGTACTAACTATGGTGGCACACTTGCTGGGGGCGATGTCGCAACTCATGGCGATGCAGGCGAGGACGGGAATGGTTGGGACGACGACGACGGTCTCCACGCACTTGGACATGCTGGAGGAGCAACGGGCTGGAGGCAACTGAGAGGATGCGCATACAGTTCGACCATCGAAGGTCGAATGGGCAGGGGAGGGAACATGCGGTAGGTTCGGGGCAGAAGGAGGGCAGAGGCAGGGGGGGGGAAGAGGTAGAGCAAACTTCCCGCCCAGAAACATTGAAAAGGGCAGCCTATCTGGGTCGCCTATCTCTCAGGATCAGCAGTCCAGATAGGACACAGATTTCAATCCTTTTTGGCAGGCCTACCGGACCCGGTCTGCTGTTTTTTGGGGTCATGAGACCTCCACGGCCTGCATGGAGGTAGCCTGGCCCAAAACAAAACCGGTAAGACCCCCCAGATTGGATGCGGTACGGCCAACCGGGAGGGAACTGGCCCGGTCGACTGGCCGGTAGGACCGGTCCAGTTCCGGTTGGGGGAGGGCCCCCCGTCCTACCAGGTTTACAGCACTGCTTCCAAGGCATTTCGAAAGACACAGGTTTTCAGCTTACCATGTGTGCAGCATGTTGAAATCCTCGCGCAATGAGAGCTGATGTGGCAGGACTAGAACATATCTTAGCAAAAAAATCATCCAGCGCCACTTTGTCCTCTTTGCCTCCTGCATAGGCCTTCATCATTTCCTTGCGAAAAGCCCCCATCTCCTGCAGAACAAGCATGAAGATCGGCACCGTGCCGTTTCAGCCAAGGAATTCCATTTCATTGTTCTTATTACCTCTGTAATGAGCCAGACTTTGGAACATTATATCACCATCACACACAAATTCACGATGCTTAAACTGAATCACAAACGGAGAATGAGAAAGCAATGATTTCACACCTAGGCAGCACACCAAATCCGACGATATAGTTCATCTAGAATATCTTTGGGGGGGGGGTGGGGGGGGGGTATCCTGATTTCTAGATACTTAAAAAAAAAATGTTTAAGACCTTGAAAGAGTGAAAACGACGAAAGGTGTAATGTGCATGCCAAAGCAGCCAAACACAACACAACTACAACTACGTATTTCTTTCATGATGAAAAGCATGTTGGGGGTTCAAAGGGTTCTTAATACTTCTTATTCCTATAGACAGGGCTTAGAAGGGTTTAAAGTGAGAGTTAGTTAACTGACATTGTTCTCTTATCTGTTTAGCCTTTGATCTCCAATTCAGTCGTCTGACAAAGATGGAAGGTTAATTTAACCAAACATTCGAATTTAGAGGTGACTTTCTCAGAGTTTATATTCGGACTTCTATTAGAAGACTACCCTGTTTTGAACTGGAGCCAGATTTTCCTTATCCAGAAACTAACTGGAAGTTGCATCCGGCCTAATACATTGTCACATACCTATTAATGAAAAGAGAGCACTTTGCGAAACAAACGGCAAAAAAAAAAAAAAAAAAAAAGACGAACAACATGAGGGGCACAATGAAACCATTCATTTTCTCATTCTTCTTTTAAGTTTTAACTCCCCCTTCACAATGCCCCTCACACACAAGGCTCGCCACGTTGATGAGGCTGAGCGTGAGCTCTTGCATCCCCGTGTGCCATAACCGCCCACTTGTATGCTGTGAGAAAGAGGCAGAGTAAAAGGGGAGGGGATAAACACAGGGAAGAGAGATGGAAAGAAATCAAACAAAGAATGACAGAGGGAAAGTAAGGGAAAGTACAGAATGTGGAATGAAGATGAGGCAAAGGAGAAGGAAACATTCAAGAATGAGTCCTTGACGACAGAGAGGACAAACATTGTAAGGATAAGGTGGATGAACACATGGACGACATAGCTGAGCATTCTTAGTACAACAATTGCCACAACCGCTCGCATTAAGCATGTCCATCATACACCCCCGACAAACCGGCATAATATATCTGCAAGAAGCAGTTGGCTGAATATCCCACTGCACAGGCTAATGTCAAACCAAAAGCCAGTTTGAAGAAGAAGAGCCGAGTACGAGAACAGCTTCAGACAATAATCTCTCTCTCTCTCTCTCTCTCTCTCTCTCTCTCTCTCTCTCTCTCTCTCTCTCTCTCGCGCGCGCGCGCGCGCGTTCACTTTCTTTCTTCATCCCTCATGGATTGAGGTGAATATGGCATTGAATCTGGGAATTGTATGGTCATATTCGACGTGGTGTTTGTCAAGTGTGTGCATGGGATCCTGCCTTGCTCATAGGGGGGTTGTCTTGGGAGATCAACCCGCTACCTCGTGAATGGTTTTGTGGATGATATGGTGCACGGCATCCGTGCTGGGGATAGCATACATGTGTTTCACACACATCTCCACACACACACACACACAAATATATTTGTGTGTGTGTTCCGCTCCGGCAGCAGACGGGTGAGTGGGCACTTGCTGCTCAACCACACAAATGTCGGAAGCCTTCAATTTCCTCACACATTGCATATCTATACCTTGTTCGTTTGATGGATGGTTCATGATGATTTGTGGTTGGAATGAGAAGCGACTATGGGGATCTTTAAAACACACACACACACATGCACACACACACACAGAGAACAAAAACATCGCACTTTAAAAAACAAACAAAAAGAAAGGACACAAATGATCCACACAAACCGTTCTTTTTCCTTTTCTCGTGCAGTTCTTTCCTTTCCTTACTTCGGCTTTTACCAGTGGTTTCTCTTTAATTATGCATGGGTCCTGGGGACCATCTCACGCAAATGTGTACATGTCATGCATCATCTTCACATGCAGTGATCAATAGTCTCAACCATAGACAAAGGTAGAGAAGAAGAGGACCGAGTCTCACAGCTTATATTATCAGAAATATGATTACAAAGTGTTT